CCCGCGCGTGGGGGGTCGGCAGTGCGGGATGGAAGAACCCGGGCGGGGCGCGGGGGGCGGGGCGCGGGGCGCGTTGGCCTTATCCCGACTACTTCGGAGCGATGGGGAAAGAAACCTCCAAGGCGAGAGTGTCGACAGCTGACTTTCCCCTGGTGCTTATTGCGGGTCGCGCCCCCTTTAAGCGCCTCGCGTGCGTGGGACTCGCGGCACGACTCTGCCCGTGGGGACTGTGTGTGCTGTCGTCCTCTGCAACGAGGAGATCCCGGCGCAGGGACGTTGAGGAGCTCGCTTAAGGCCACACGGCAGGAAGCGGTGGCGCTGGGATACGAACACCCGAGGTCTCGGAAGGTGGGGTGACCGGGGGCGGGGGCAGCAGAGGTAGGGTCTCCCGCGTGCTCGGTTCCCGGCCTGGCGCCTCCCACCGGCCTCGCCAGCCTCTGGCCTGCGCCCCTCCTCCTTCCCCGGCCCCCTCCTTGCGGTTCGCGCTCGCGTTGCAGAGGCTGCTCTTTCCCCAAGCCCCCCCGTCTGCATCCTCAGCTTCTTTAATTCGGGGTCAGTGGAATCCGTCGCTATTTTACTGAGCAGCACTTGAATTTTGCTCAGTGCTCTTGGCATCGTACGTCACCTGGTCTCGCATCGCATAGAGGCATCTCGTTCCTACTATTTTTACCTGCCCCACAGAGCACAAAGTTGACTAGAACCAGTCAATTAAAACTTTTAGCCAACAGTAGTAGTTTGGTGGTTCAGGTGTTGCCTTTTTGTAGACATCTGTTGTATTTTTTGCCTGTCCTCCCGCATCATTTATTTTGGGAACAGTCTCGACCCCCAGTTTCACCTGGAGGCACCCCCGGTGCCCCTCCCCCTCCCATTCACAGTCCTTGAAGATAAAACAAGACTCCCCTGGGCCCTAGTGCCAGGAGAGGTCATGTGACTAGTGCCCTGCGACCTGACCTCTCCTTCTCCTTGGTCATGAGGAGTGGTTCAGGTGTGTTCACACGTGACCTCTGCGGGGCTGTGGAAAACCCCGGCAGAACTCCCCACGATACTTACTGGAAAAGAATAAGCTCGGTCCACAGAGTCTGCAGGCTGGGAAGAGCCTGCTCGGCCAGCACAGAGGAACGCAGAGACCAACCACATTGCTTGAGTGTTGTGTTTAGACCTATCCATGAAATTTTAAATTATATTATTCAATATATAGGTAAAGAGAGAGATTCATAAATAGATATTTTGCATATGAACTGGTTGCCTGTGCATACGTTTATGCCTTTACTTGACATGTAATAATTGGGTGTCTAGTTAACTGGTCACAGACCGAAACCAGGATGGCAGACTGGGCCATGCTCAGGGTGACTTCACTGAGCAGAGTGGGTTTCCGGTGGCCGTCTGGGCGCCTCGCTCCACATGCAGCCGAAACAGCATCGCAGCCCCTTCTAAACACGGGCTTAGCCCTTGGGGAAGGAAGGACACCGCTGAGACTCGAAGCGAGCCGGCGGAGGCGGCGGCGGAGCCGTTCTGCTCTGTTTAGCCTCGGAGTGGAGAAGACCCAGTGTTTTCTTCAAGCTTATTAAGGGAGCCTGAACGCGGCAGTGTCCCTCCCGGCCCCGGTGATGACTTTGTGCGAGCTGAGACACTGAGACGCAAAGGCGTTTCTTTGAAATCCCAGCGTCGACCGTGCAAATGCGACACCTTTCGGCCGAGGGGAGGCATCAGCGGCCAGGCCACGGTGCGGCCCCGCACTCCGCCAATTCCCTAGCAAGGGCTCCATCACCGTAAGGAGCCTGAGAACGGGGTCTCTGTTTTCCCTGCAAATCGCCGGCATGCTGTGACGGATTCGGTTGACAGAAAAGCATTCCGACGCCATCACGCGTGCTCCTTCAGGGTCGCGTCCTGGCCACCTTTTATTGCTCTGTTCTCTGCCACCAGGAGGTACGGAACCTCCGGAAGAATAGCGGAGTTTTATTTTCACACGCCCCACGCTTCCCGCTCCATTTCTTCTCCAGGGAGGGGAGAGCGGCGGCTCCCCCTCTTTGTCACACACACTCACAGTCATGCGCGCATTCACAAAACTCTTGCCCGGCGACTGTGTGCGAGTACACAGACAACCCGAAGACGTCTATAAACAAAACCATGTATTGTTCGTATGTCCGTAGCTGGATAGATAGATGACAGACAGATAGATAGACCTCAGAATAACTGACACACACGTCTCTCAGACTCTGCTAAAATACAAAGCTTATTATATTTTCAGTCTTCGCTAGGTTACAGGTTTTAGAAGATGTATCACATTTAAAAAGCTTTGAAAAAATATATATCCCAAACACGAACACTATCCTGGAGTTAGGACGACTGTAAATGGGATGAGGAAATTGAGGTACCAGCGGCAAGAAAAGGCCTTTTAGTCTGGGAAACGAGTTTCTGAAGTCAGAGCAGAGCGCGATCTGACAGACCCCCAGAAAGACAGCTGCTCCGACGGCCAGGCCAAGCGCTTTGGGACAGCGACACGCTCGACTCAACAAGGACCAACCCTAAAGATTAAACGTGTGTGGATCAGCGTTTTTCCGCAAGAGCGTGTGAACGGGGCAGAGGCTATCGTCCCGGGATGGGTAGGAGGCCTCTGATCCTGTTAAAGGGGGAGCTGTCTGGGAGACCTCCGGAGACCCCCACCCCTCCTCCTGAGTGAGGAAGGGGCTCCCGGGCTCCCGTGCAGGAACAGCTCCCCGAGAAGCCAGGAGGCACGTTTTCATCAAGCGGTTGGCACATCACGGTGCTCAGAGCACCTCCCAGGAAGCGTCTGGTCCCTGCTTAGGGCCACCTCGCCTTCTGCCAGTGCAGACTCCAGCCCCCCAGGACAGGCCAGGGGGTGGGCGTCGTGCGGGTGCCCCGGGCCCGAAGCCTGCCATCCTCCTCTCGGGGGGTGGGCTGCTTCCTGCCTCCGCGCCTCCCAGACAGAATGGGGTGAGCTGAGCCCCTCACCTGCCGCTGTGTCTTCAGCTAGGAAACCACCCATGGTAACAGCCGCGTGCTGTAGGTGGTCTCGGGGTCGCCTGTGACTCACAGGACTCGTATTTCCAACACTGCTATTTTCTTGCGGTAAAAACGTCAAAACAGTAAAAGGCTATCACTTTACACACATGAAATCCGATCCGCTAAATCAGAGTCCAGTTCTGAGTGAGGTCAGCCGCGGGGATGGGCGGGTGTGGAGCGTGTCTGGACCCCGTAGGCGGACCAGTATCCCTGGGGACTTGTCATCGCTGTAAACTGTTTTAAATAAGTCTTTGTTTTTTTTTTTAAACCAAGTCCATCACGTGACACACATTCGCGCTGGTAAAAGCCCGCCGCCCTCAGGTCCAGCTCAGGTCCAGGCTCTGTCGGGGACGGGGACGGGGTGGAGCAGGGGAAACGAGCACCGGGGTCTTCAAGCCGCCTCGGTCCCCGCGTCGTCCGCTGCTGCGGTGGCCGCCGCTTCCGAAGACACGTCTCCAGCAGCTTCGTCACAGTGAGCCCGTCTTCACATTTTAGTGTCCTGGACAGAGGTGTCGCCCTGTCCACAGAGGGGGAAGGATGGATTGGAGAGAGAGCGGGGAAGCGGTTTGGGGCTGGGAGGGCAGACGGCCGAGCTGGCGTTTGCAGGAAGATGGATCCGCTGCCCAGGTACGGGGCGGGTCTGGAGACCGGGAGATCTGCTAGGGGTGACTCGTGACTGCAGAGATGAGGAAGGGGGACACGGGGTCATGGCACTGTGGATGGAGAGAGACAGAGCACGTGGAAGGCCCTAACCAGGACACTGGAGACCCGTGGCGGATGGCTTTCGGAGAGGGGGTGACAGGGCGGGAGGAGGGAAGTCGGTACTTCGGGGGCAGAAAGCTCCGGGACACTGGAGACCCGTGGCGGATGGTGTTCGGAGAGGGGGTGACAGGGAGGGAGGAGGGAAGTCGGTACTTCGGGGGCAGGAACGGGCAGGGCTGGTGGGGGAGTCGGGGTTTCAGGGGTTCAGGGGAAGATGGTGGAGGAACCGAGCGAGCAGGGTGAGTTGGTCTGGGGAGCGCTGGGGGGAGGGGCTGGCCGGGCTCTGGGTGAGTCGTGGGCCGCGGGGTGCGGTCCGGCCAAGGGTGAGCCGGGCTGGGCTGAGCCATCGGGAGTCCCGGCAGGGGACAGGGAGGCCCGGGGGGAGCAGTGTTCACAAAATTCGACGGCTGAAGCCTGGCGGTGGAGCCAGGGGAGCCGGCCCAGGCCCGAGTGCCCCCACTCTTCCTTAGGGGGCAGGGGCGGGGCAGGGCAGCCCGGCCAGACGGAGGCCAAGGGCGGGAGGGGTTTCAGGGGCGGGTTGCAGTGCCAGCTGCTTTGCAGAGGTGCGGGTGACAAGAACTGAGACGTGACCAGTCTTTGGTGGCTGGGAGGGCACTTGTGACTTTCAACATCATTGATAAGAGCAGGGTCACCAGGGGGAACAAAGGAGAGGGGACAGAGGGCATAGTGGGGTGCGTGTGAGTGGGGCAGAGTGGAGGGGCTCTCTTGAGGGCCGGAGAGACCTGGCGTGTTTGCAGGCGGGAAGCAGGAGCTGGACGGGCAGCAGGATGACCTCGGTTAAAACGCAGGCGAGCACGCTCGCGACCGCCCGGGCACGCGGCACGGGGCCGCCGGAGCCCCGCACGGGGCGTCGTGTCAGGGAGAAGGGGCCCGTCCTCCGGCGCAGGGAGGAGGGGATGGACACTCTGAGAGGATGAGGAAGGCGGCTGGTCTTCCTGTTACTAAGTGGAGGCACCGAAGTGGCTGGTGTCCTGGGGAGCAGGACCTCGGTCACAGAGCGGTGCCCAGTCCAGCTCACCCCGCCCACACCCACAAGTGCCCCAGACTTCTGGGCCAGCGGGAACCCCGAGAGAGCATGACACAGGCTTCCCTATCTGTCCTCCTGTCCCCTCGCCATCCGTGACAGCCTGTCTCACTCCTGGGCCTGTGATGGGGCTGTGAGGAATGTGGCATGTGACAAAGGGCCTGGCCCTGGCCCTGGCCTCCCCGGTCCCGGGTGAGCAAGCAGGGCCACCTACCTCTGTCTTGGGGACCTCGCCGCTGGTCTCCGGCTCGGCCTGGCCGGTCCTGGGGCTGTGGCCTGGCTCCGGAGCGGCCTCCTCCTCCGGCTTTTCCTGGCCTTTCCCCTCCGCCCCTCCGGGGGGACTCTGCGGGGTCTCCTGCGGCACAGCCCCCTCCTCCGGCGGCTTCTCGTCTTGGCTCTTTACCCCATCCTCCTCCAGCTCGGCGAGTTCCTCCACCTGCTCCTGGGCTGGGGTCTCCCCCGAGGGGCTCCCGTCCTTGGCCTCCGAGCCCGGGGCAGCGGGCGGCTCGCTGGCCTCCCCTCGGCCGTCCGGTGCGGCCCCCTCCCAGGCCGGACCCTTCTCCTCCGGCTTCTCCGTCCAGCTGGCCGTCCTCCTCAGGGGGCGCTCCTCGCGGGGCCCGGGGCTCCTCCTGCCTTCCTTCCCCACTGCCCCCTCGCCCTTGGGGGGGAACACCTCGTCCCCATCTTCCTCCCGGGCCCCGTTCTCCTGGGGAGACCCTGCGGCTCGGAAGTCGCCCAGCTCCCCGCAGTCCGACTGGGACCTTCGGAATCTCCGGGAGGGGGGCCGCCTTTTGATGGAGCCCCTCGTCCGCACCTGCGAGAAGGCATTCGGGAGAATTACCCCAAACCCCTGAGAAAGGCCGAGAGCACTGCAGGTTCTTTCGGAGGCAGTCCGAAGCCCTGCTCCACGGGCACCCGAGGGGCGCTGGACCTCCCGGGGGACACGGGACCGCGGCCTCCGATTAGGGATCGTAGCCCAGCAGGTGCGAAGGTGCCAGGCAAGCTGCAGGTTTTCATCTCACGGAGAGGCGGATGCCGTCCATCCGGTGAGAAAGCTGAGCTACGATTTAATCGCCCTGTAAACGGTCAGCGGGGTGGAGTCATCCTAACGCTCCAATTCTTCAATGCTCTTTGAATGAGCTTTACATCTTACAAGGTTTCCTTGTAAATCGACAAGTTGAGTAAAATCTATCTCTATTTTCTATAAGAGTCATGTTTTAGCATTTTGGAAATTATACTTTGACAGAGGTGAAGCCGACAGAGAAGAAGGTTAGGGGCCTGCTGGTGGCCTGGCCCAGGCACAGGGACCTCCCGGGGTGCAGGGTTGGACAGCCAGCTGGTGACCAGCCTCCTCCCTCCCCCAGCGCAGCCCTTGCTGTCCCCATGAAGCCGGCCGGCACTGGGGACGCCACGCAGCCAGCGTCCTTCGCTTCCTACGTGTCAAGCCCACCGTCCTGGGAGCGTCCGGCGGGGCCACCTCAAGTTCATTTCCTCCCCGGGAGGCGTGTGCATCTGGGGGTCGGGGCCCACCTGGGCCCAGCTGACTTCGTCAGAAGTTCAGTGGAAATGCCTCAGATGCCCCAGTTTACTCAAGGGATGTGCCCTTTAAAACTTTATGTCAATTAAATCTTATTTTCATGAACTTTATTTTCGTAAACTTTACTTTCCCACTGACCTACGTTTTGGCAGTTGTCATCCTCGTTCCATGTCAGAGGTTTGGGATGAAAACTTGGTTTCGAAGCCTGTCCGGACCCCCTCCTGAGACCACGGTGAGGCCAGCCCCGCGGGCGGTCGAGGCCCCGGCCTTCACGACCAGCAGGCTTCAGACGTGAGCTTGCCCGCTCCCTGGCCACCCTCCAGATGCTACGGCCCCGGTATTATGATCAGGTGGCAGTGCCTCCCACCCCACTCCTGCTCCCTAAGGACACCCTGTGAGAGACGAGGCCGTCCCCTGGGCTCCTCTCCCCCCGTCACTGCAGGCTGCGGGATGTCCCCTCTGTCCCCCGCCAGCAGGCTCAAGCCCGCCCATCGTGTCCTTACTCCAGCTGGCTTCCTCGGGCCTCGCCTGTTTCTACACACTTGACCTCGCTGCTAGATGGAGTTTCTGGAATGGCCCGGAAGACGGCACCCAGCTGTGATCGGTCCTGAGCTCTGAACTTTCTCTCCACCGAGGACAGAGCACTCTGTCCCTAAGCCTGACTTCCGGTGACAGTTACAGGGAAGGAGAGGGGAAGAGATGGGGAGGGGGCTGATCTCAGCTCAGGGGTCACTTGCCAAGAAGAGGAGAATTTCCGATCTGTTGATACCCAGCCCTGACTACAGCCTACGTGTGTCCTCGTCGTTATCACGGGACGGCGACAGGGTCCAGAAGGTTCAGGGTGCCCGGTGCCCGCGTTCCCACCGGCGGCCACGAGACGCGGGCCAGACGCTACCTTGTTGTAACAGGGCAGGTGGCTGCCTTCCGGAGGCTGGTCGAAGCTGACGGGCACTTCCTCTGGCTCGCCGGGCCGAGACCGCACGCCAGGGCTGCTGGGGGTGGACGGCGGGCTGTGGAATGGCGACACCGCGGCCTTGAGTCCAGGACTCCTGGGTGAGGCCCTCGGCAGCAGGGCCGCTGGGTCGAAGGCTAAATTGGCCTGTGGAGAGAAGACGAGACGTTTCAAGTCGGGGGCCGGGGAGCAGACGCGGGTTCCTGCTTCGGCCTGGCGGTCGCCTGGCCTCGGGACGGCGAGGCTGGCGACACGGGGCGTTTCGCGTGACTTCCTAACCGCTCCCCTCTGTCGCTTCGTGTCCCGCTGCTGGAAGCACCCCTGCTCGGCCCGGCTCCGGCGACCTGGCTCAGTCCAGGCCGCATTCCAGAAAGCCCAGATTGCTGACCTGGACCCAACAGGAGTGCCCGGGACAGCCCCATGCTAGAGACGAGGAGGCCAAAATCGCACCTGCCGACGCGCAGGCCCGGGACCTCGCGGCGAGTCCGCGGCCCCTTTCCCCGCTTCCTCGCCGGAGGCACAGTACTGACCCCTTCTGGGTGTTTGTTAGTTGTGGGGACGCATAGTTCCCCCTCCATCACACCCGAGGACCCTGATCTGGCACTCGAGCCAGGTCTGTTGGCCCCTCGGGCCCCAGGAAACAGGGTCTCCGTTGGTGGCTGGCCAGAGGGGCGGACAGAGCAGGCTGCTGGGCCTTCCGGGGGAGCCAGCAGAGCAGGTGCCAGTGGGAGCCCCCACGGGGGGGGGGGTCACAGTGCAGCTGGAACCAGATCGCAGTGAACCCTGAGGGCGAGCTTGCTGAGGAGGCTACCCCAAGGTAACCAAGGCCCCAGGGAGCCATGGATTGGGTGGAGGAGGAAGTGTGACTCCCAGACCCACCCTGTTGCCATGGAGAAGGTGGCGGGGCAGGAAAGCAGCCACGCGGAGATTGGGCGAGGGCCTCAACCCTTGGTGCTGCCATCTCATAGCTGTGTGACCTGCCGTGAGTCCCGCAGGCTTTCTGAGTTTCGGATCCTTCATTTGTCCAGACTACTTAGCCCGACACCTCTAGAGTCCCTCACGATCTGGCCCCTGCCCTCTCTCCTGCCACTGCCCGATTCACAGCCTGCAGCCACAGCCTGTCCCTGCAGACTGCCGTGGGCATCCGTGTCCTGGCAGACTCCTGCATGCACGCGAGGACTCACAGACGACGTAGAGCGTGATCCGTGCTTAGGAGGAAGGTATGTGAATGGTGATTGCGATTTTAAGGAAGAACTAATCATACAGACAGGACCGAGTCATGGCAAAATTTACAAATATAGAAGTTAAGTAACAACACTGAGCTCACGCCATGTGAGAAAGCAGCGTGAGGTGAGTCCCAGGGGATGGCTGTAGCCCACGCAGGCTGTGACAGCTCATCCTTCACGGCAGAAGGGACGTGAACTGGGCATTCGAGGTCCCCATGCCCCTTCCAGTTCAAGCTGAGAAACTCCCCCTGTGAAACTGCTTGCAGGTAAAATGGATCTTTCGAGCCCAGGGAACGTGAACTTTGAATTATGAGTGACCTGAGTGAAGAAAAAGCATAGTTCGTAACTCACCTAACAGAATATTTAGGAGAAAAATCTAGCAGAGGATGCGTTTCTGAGTTCTGTCCCAACAAAGCAAGGTTCCTGTGGGATCTGGCCTTGTCGGCACAGTGTCGCCACTCTTGATGAGATGGAACAGTCAGAGGTGAACGCTCGGTTCTCAAGTGGCTGCGTTTCCCAGCGAGGGCCAGCAGTGACGAGAGAGGGGCGGGGGGCCGGGCTGCAGGGCACAGGGCATGCGGGAGCTGATTTCTGACCCTGGTGTGTTTGCGGGTCCCCCGTGGCCTCTGAGAGTAGCAGGCAGCCTGCTCTCTCCTGCAGCCAGGGTGAGTCGGTGCTTCTCAGGACGAATTCAACTTCCGGGGGGACCCCTTCCTGCCCTGCATAGGGCAGGCTCGTGGCTGAAGCCAGAAGTGCTTTCCTTGACCCCCAAATCAGGCTGGCAGCCAAGTTGTGGGCGCCCGTAGCTGGGATCGGCAGAGGGTGGGGCTCCTGGTCCCGGCACACCCCTCCCGCAGCGTCAGTGCACCGCTGCGCAGTGCGGCCCACGAGGGCCCGGCCGTGCTCCTGGGGGCTGCACGGAGGCCGCGGTGACAGCGGGAGGACTGTACACAGGCCCCACCCAGACGAGTCACGCCCAGCTCCTAACACTCCTCTGTGCTTAGGTCACGCTGTCCCCATACCGGGAGCACCTCCCCGCCGCTTCCCGGCCTCCTGTCCTGACGGGTGATCACGGGGCATGGGTGTCGCACACAGCGCTCATCAATTACCCCGCCCGCTCTGCTCTCTCCTGCAAAACTCTGGAGCATTGGTTGTCACTCGGGGTGGCGGGGATGGGGGAGGGCGGCGATTTTGCTCCCAGGAGACTTTTGGCAATGTCTGGAGACCTTTTTTTGTTGTCCCAACTTGTGGGAGAGTACTACTGGCCACCCGCTGAACAGGGACCGGAGATGCTGTGACACCCAAGGCGGCCTCCTGCAAGGACCGGGCCCGGCCCGAGTGGAGGGCGGCGGGAGTCTGGCGGCTACACGCGGCTCTCATCCCTGGCGTTTACTCTCCGCCGTGTCTCTTATCATATCGTGTGCGAATATTGTCCCCCCAATAAGACTGTGACCCAGATGCGGGGTCTTACGCCTCATGTACATTCTGGGAAAGCCAGGCCAGCTGTGGGCACGGCATGCGGGGACCACGCGGGGGTCGGGGGAGGGGCAGGGCACAGCTCCCCGGGCGACGACTCCGGCCCTCCTAGTGCCACGTGAGCGGCTGCATTTCAACCCCGCGCTAGACCGATGCCGACCGTGGCTGCGCTCAGGCCTTGGGGGAGAGGACCAGCTGTTCCTGGAGCGTTTCTTGCATATAATGTGCTTTTCCCACAAGACTGCCGAGGCACCCTGTTATTCATCAGCCACCTTTAGGAGTTAACTACACAAGCTCACGCTGGATATGGTCCTTATTTCAGCCCTTTGCCCTTCAGGTAGAGGTCCTCAATTTTTAGAGCGATTTGGTTATCGGAGGTCAACTCTCCAGGTGACACATGACATGCAGATGTTGGATAGGAGGGGGCTGGGTAAGGGGTGGCCACGGGCAGCACTCACCTGAAGCTTCTCGATCAGAGGCGAGCTCTTCACCTTGACTTTGGGGGGCTGGCTCGCGCTGGATGGTGATTTCTGTAGAGCAAATGGAGCGAGACAAGCGGATGAGTGAGGCGAAGGGGGGGAGGGTGCTGGCGGGGGGCAAAGCCACGGGCGGACGGAGAGGAGAGAACATGGCCTCAGCGCCTCCCCACTGAGCTTCGTGGCCACTTACCCCCCGGGCCGGGTGGGGCCCTCCGTCCCTCCCTCACCTGTCCACTAACAAGACCACTGAATCTGTGAATGACAGTGGGCGGGACAGCCCGAGACGCGGGTCACCTGTTCTGGGAAGAATGAGTCTGTAGCCATCGTGAAGGAACAGACTGGGTCTGAGGGGACTTTGTCTAACCTCCCGACCTTGGACGACAGGAGCCAGCAGCTGAAGGGCATTTCAAGGAGACAGGGTGAAATGACCATCCAGTCTGCTGGTCACAAACAAAACAAGGGACCACCACCCCAGAGTGAAACCCGATGGGTGTGTTCGAAATTCTTCCCCTAAACTAATGATATTTTGGAAAATCTCATCAATGGTGTGTTGTTTGTAAATTATCATTTTCCAAAGCATGGAATATTCATTTTGATTAAACGGACATTTATTGAATATCTACCAGATTCCAGACACCGCGCTGGTTATACAGGGAGGAACATGACTTAGCCTCTGCGCTCTGGGAACAGACGGTGGTGCGTATATAAATATCTCATTCCGCGTGCTCTGTGAGTTGAAGATATTTTTGTGATGAACGCACGCGGAAATCTTGTCTGTCTCTGATTTTTATGTTATTATATTATCTTAAAAGATGGACTCCTTGTTTTGTGCAAAATCCCTATGATCAAGTCTGGTCGCACAGGTAGATGGATCCTCACGCACAGGAATAAAGACATGATGATGACGATGGTGATGATGATGATGATCGAGAAGAAGAAGGGGAAGGACTTCCCGGGGCTGGACAGAGGCCGAGGCAGAGGAGCGATGTCCCTACAGTGTGCAGACCCCACGTGGTCCCTGCCTCTCGCCCCCACGTACTGACTCACGTGAGTCATAAGAGGAATGACGACGACCCCTAGACACCTTCTGCGATGCGCATCGAATGAGACGGTTGTATCTTCGTGAAGGAAGGAGGAGACCGACTCGGCCGAACTCCTGTGGCCTTTTTGAGGCCCCGCGTTGCGGGGCAGGTGTGGCAGTGGGCCAGTCACTGGCTGGGACCCGGGAGGCCCCCAGCCCCTGCTCATTCTGCTTCGGGGAGCCGGGTGGATGCCGCGGCCTCGGCCGCCTCAGCCAAGACCCAGGCGGGCGGGCCGGAAGCCGTGGTTCCCAGGCCCGCGTGCCCCCGGCCGGGACCCTACACCGTCAGACGTGTTCCCTGGGCACCCTCGGAGGGAGCCTCGCGTCCGCGGCGAGGACAGACGGCTTCTGGCCCAAACCGGTGTCCTAATCTCCGAGTTTTACGGTGAAATTTCACATGAGCCGGTGTTTCTGAAGGTACAGTTTTAGGAACCATAGCTACGATTTTGCCGACGAAGCCCACCGCGTGTGACACTTAAACTCTTCTCTTCCCCGTCTGACCACTGTCTGCTGAAGAGAGTGGGAGATAAGAAACACGTCCCCTTCGGCCCAGGACAGGGCTGGGAACCCAGCTCCTCTCCACAAAATCCTCGCCGATGGGAACCGAACGCCGAAGTAGGAAGAATCCGAAATAGCCGCTCATGCAGTTCCGGGGGACAGCAGCAGGTGGCAGCATTTCCCTTACCATTCCGCAGCCGGCTCGGGCAGGTGGCTGCGCAGCGGGGAAGGCCAGCCTTCCATCTCCGTATGGACGCGTATATGTCTAATAGGACATTCCTATGATATCTTAAAGTTGGGGACCCGATTTTTCAGCTGGGAGTGTTTTCAGCCCTTCTCTGGGTAGACAAGGCAGGGTCTGTGGCCACATTAAACCGCCCTCTGCCCGGGCCCCCCTGAGATGGTAATCCCTGGCCACCTTGCCTGCAGGGGCTGACCCCACCCTGTCAGGCGTGGGGCGGGCAGGGAGGGCGAGGGGTGGGAAGACGCTGTCCACCACTGCGTTAGGCAGCCCTACTGGGTCCCCCTCCAGGCCCCCAGGCTCCCGGCCTCGGGGCTCCTGCAGGCCGAGCTTCATGAGAACATGCGAGCTGTGGGCGCAGCCTCCGTCCAACCCGTCCAGACAAAGCTGGTGGCCCATTTTATTTCTGTGTGAATTTTAAGGCGACGAAAAGTCACGGATGCTGGAGGCGATGTCCTTCCCCTGTGCGGGCCGCCTGTCACGGCCGGTGGGCTTCGCTCTAAACCCACCGTCCTTTTCGACTGGTTGTCACATGGCTTTGAGCGGCTGGGCGGTGTTCCCTGGCACGACGCCCGTGAATTTACTCCTCCCAGAGCCACCGAGCTAACCTGAGTCGCTCCGCTTTTGTCCAGGGAATACGATGTCCCCCTCGCGCCCTCACACGTCTGGTTAGAGTTCTTGTCTCATTTTACAGAACAGGAAGCAGGCCCAGGGTGGTGCAGTGACTCTCGGGGACCACATCCGGGTGAGCAGGGGCAGCCTCACAGTGGGCTCCGACGGCCACAGCCTCGACCTGTCCCAGCACAGACACCGAGCCCAGAGGGTGCCGGTCACAGGAGAAGTCGACCTTGACGTGTCACAGCCTTGACCGACCGCCCCACGAAGCCACAAGGTTGCAATGTTAGTGCTTGAGAAGGCCCAACGAAACACTCAGGGGTTTGTTAAACTGTGCTTCTTGGGGTTCTCACCCCAGAAGAAGACCCTCGTTGGTGTGTGGGGGGCGGGGTTGTTCTCAGAGCAGATGGGGCTCTGGGCCCCCTCTCCCTGCACCTGAGCGGGAGCCGCCGTGGGCTTCTGCTTACAAGCCTTGGTTGACAAAAGGTTCAAAAACCACTGGACCACCTTAGTTCACTTCACGGGGAAGCAAATGGAGGCAACGAGGCTTGCCCAAGGTCGTCAGGTGTCCGTCCTTGGGATGTGGCTCCCCTGAAAGCCAGTGGGGAGGTGGTTAAGGTGGGATCTGGCACCGGACAGTCGCTGGCTTGCTTCCTCTGTTTTGGGCCTGGCCTCCCGGAGTGGACAAGAGAACGTACACATCGTTTCTGGCAGGGACCAGGAGCACAGCGACGGCTCATGGCTGCTGGGGCTGCTGGGGACGCTGCTCTCACAGCGGCAGCTGGATAACGGAGCACAGTGGGCACGCAGCCCGGGCGTCCCTTGCTGACCACAGTCTGAGATGCCAGAGCCTGTATGATGTGGGTGACGTTGGCCATTTCTATCTGAAGATGACGTGGCCTCGCGTGCACCTTGGCTTCCTTCCAGGGACCCCGACAGCAGCTGGCCTTCCCACGACGCCTCCTGATTCTCACTGCACGAGTCTGCCTGATGTGAGCGTACCTCCCTGCAGGTGCCGTCTGCCCAGGGAGGGTCACGTGCATCAGCCCTGGGCGTGGACGGTCCCTCCCTCGGCTCCCGGGTCTGCGGTGGTAAAACTACAGGGCCCGTTGTCTTCGCTGAAATTCCCGGGCTTGAAAAATAGTGTTCTTGCCGCCGACGGATCACGAAGGGCGGGAGGAGGGGGCCTCGTTTTCCGTGTCAAGGATTCAGGGAGCATTAGGAACAGGAGACTCGTTCCTGGACCTGAAATGGAGAAACTGCCTGCACAGGTCGTGAGCCCTGAACGTGGGGACCTCGTGCCCTCCCTGCAAGGAGGAGGAGGAGGATGCGTGACCGGCACTCTCGGCCCGTGGGCACTCACCGCCTCATCGCTGTGGCCCGGCTCCGCCTTTGGGGGGAACAGGAGGAGGGAGCACGGCGGCTTCCTTCTCGGTTTACTGGCTGGCATGGCGGGCATCTGGGGTGAGGGGGACAGACGGACACACACGGAAGAAGAGGGAGCGGATCAGGCAACAGGGAGGAAGGCGAAGGCAGCAGAAACTGGCTCGGGGAATGCTTAGGGCTGCCCGGAGGAGGCGAGCACGGCGGGCGGCATGGCGGGCCCTCGGCCATCGGCTGTACGAGCTGACGCTGTCTAGCGCTCGCTCCCTCGCGGGCTCGCAGCCGCTCCTCCCTAAGCCGGGCCCACCGGCCCACACGTGTCCAGCGACCCCCCACCCAGCTGCCGGGCGCTGCCGGAGCCTTGGATCAACAACACTGTCTTCCTTACCCTTCGGACAGTCTCGTTTGTCCAGAAATCACGGACCAAGTGCAAAATGACGCACCCAAGGAAGTGTGACTCCTGGACCTCGGTCCCCCCGGGGGGCCATGCTAGACCCCTCCCCCACTTCCAGTGAGTGCTTCGGACTTGGGGGGCCCCGGACAAGCTAGCCCAGATCTCTCCGGGGTTACGCCGCTGTCCCCACAGCAGAATCCTTCTAGACCTCTCAGGCCGCTGGACGCCTTCCCTCCCGACCCGGGAATCTGGCGCCCCACTTCCGAGGCTCCACGGTGGAAGCCGTGTGGGGACCTCTTATTCTGAGCCGGCCCGGACCTGGCACAGCTGCGTAAAACCCGTCTCTGCCGGTGGATCGTCAAGATGGGGTCCGACCCAGACCCCCGATTCCGATCTAGACCCTCGTCTCCTGCGTCCGTCGGGCGGGCCAGCCCCCTGCCCTCCCTCTCCCTGCCCCCTCCCCCTCCCCCCTCCTCCCAGGAGCAAGCGAAGCCTCACTCTGCTGGGAAAGACCCTGCCAGGCCCAGCAGAGGTGACATTCCTGGCATTCAGGGGGACCCCTCTGTGGCTGCTCTTCCTAATTTGGTAATCACCGAGCCTCCTCGCCCCCTCTCCTGTGGGCCTGACCCAGCCTTCCCCTTCCTCCCGCCCCCTTCCGGGAGGGGGGTTCCAAGGCCACCTGGCTCACCTCCTTGGCCGCCGCCTGCTCCTGAAACCGCCCAGCCAGCTGGGCCACCGAGGGGGCCGCCGAGGGGGCCACGCTGGCACTGGCCTCTGTGGGTCTTTCCTGGAAAACCAAGAGGAAGTGACAGTTAGCAGCAGGCGTGCCCTCGGCCCTGCTTCGTGTGTCACCGGGGGCCACGCCAGGCGCTCGTCACGCAGTTGCAAGCAGAGGAGCTGTGACGAGGCCTTTGAACAGCATTTGCAATTGGCTCCTCCGTGCGAAGATCTTCAAAAAAACCGTCTGGTCGACCACGTGTCGTGACCATGTAAGATGTACTGGGCCCCAGGTGTGGATCTGGGGCCTGTGGGGAAGGAGACTGGGTCCCGGAGGGGTGCCCAGGGGCGCCTGGGGGTCTGGGGGGCCAGACAAGCCCCAGGTTCTCATCCCACTAAGACCCGTCCTGAAGAGGGGTGTGTCCGCTGCCCTCGGTCAGAAGGGGCTGCTGGGACGCCCTGGAGAGAGAGGCCTGGCCGAGGCGGGGCGGGTGCGCAGACGCCCTCGTGGCTCCCCCCCTACCCCAGGGCCCTGTGCGCGTGCGTCGTGCCTTCCCTGCTTGATTGAGCGCCCGGGGCCGAGCGGTGGTCAGTGCCTCTTTGCCGAATTACCAAAGGCCTGGCGGAGGAGGGCCGGCCGGCCGGGACTCACACACTGAGCTGTTCCGTCTCTTACTCGCTCAGTGACCCTGGGCAAGTGGCTTCACCCTTCTGTGCTGTGACAAGGACGACCAGGCTGAGCTTCGGCTAGAATGCTTTGTGCTGCGTCTAAGTGTCAGGACCAGGCCCGGCATGCTGGAACGCTTGGGAAGGGTTGTGACGGCTTCGGGTGCGAAGGCCCTCTGGTCAGCCCGGCGGCCCCCAAACAGCCCGGCTTGTCTTCCTTTTCAGGGCAAAGGAGAGAGTGGGCAAGCAGTGCCCGTGCCCGGCTGGCGGGGGTGACGTGGACGAGCCCGCTCACCGAGGCCACAGTGAACCTGCCGCTCACCGCTCTGCACGGTGCGTTCAGAACCCCTGCCCTGCGCGCCTCCCACGCTGCTCAGTCCCATAAGAAACCCGATGTCCCAATGTCGCTCACTGATCGCCCCTCCAGGCTGAGGGGCGGGCTGGCCTCCAGGGGGCCACCACGCCAGGGCTGCTTGGAGCCCTGGGGTCTGTGGCAGCCCGCTGGAGGCCCCCGGGAATACCAGTCACTAGGGGCCATTTCTGTTTCCCAAGTGGGAGTGACAGCGTATGTGTGTGTGTGCCCTGGGGTCTGGGACATTTGTCCTTCAGGCTGCAGCAGAAAGCTGAGGCGTAACTTCTAAGATTAGAACAACTTGTCCAGGACCTGAGCCTGCCTCCCAGTCAGCTGCAGCCTCTCCTGTTACAGTGGCTCCCTGGCTCCCCCCTTCCTTCCCTCCCTCCCCCCCTTCCTTC